TAATTTTGAAATCACCATTAGCAAATATGAATAACTTAGCACTGTGGGATAAGCACTAGATTGCTAACTACAAGGTTGGCAGTTCAAACCCACCAGCCACAATTGGAAATCCTACAAAAGGTCATTGTGAGTTGGAACTGACTAGAAGACACACAACAATAACACACACACACACACACACACACACACACACAAAATAGTAGAATGTTTTAGAAGATGCAATCCTTTAAACAACCACAAGGGGCCAGGCTGATACTGAACACTGTCCCACAGGCATCTAAACTAGTTTCTAGAAGCTGGAATTCTGATGTGGCACTGCAGGACAGTGCATTGTACCACAAAAGTCAGCAGTTCAGACCCACTAGCTGCTCTTCAGAAACCCTATACAGGGTCGCTATGAGTCAGAACTGACTCCACAGCATTTAACAAGAAGAAGAAGCTGGGCTATCTTAGGAAAACAATGAAAGATCCTGTGCAATAGAAAACAACATTCTAAACAACAGCAAAAGTTTTAATAAAATAGAGTAAACATAATGAACTCTAAAAAATATAGGTATGATTTATATCACTATTGTTTATATAGTAGCAATCTTCCGCATTTGCATACGATCATACAACAGCACAGGTCAGTGTAATTCCATCGAACAATCCTACAACATTGCGGCGGTATTGGGCATTCAAAACATATTTGGAGGAAGTTTGGCTCCCTTGAGGATCCTCATTGCCTCGTGGAGAAAATTTTAAAGGAGAAACGATAACCCCATAATCACCCACCACTCTGAGTCTTGATTTGATTTGACTTTCACTGCACAGACAATCATTCAATGTCTATAAAAAGAAGTAAAACCAAAAACATAAAAGAGGAGAGGTCACTCCATCAGAGGAAAGGTATGACATCTAGGAATTTTAGCTACTTCTCAAGAAATGGACACTGGTCTCTTTCTAGTTCCAATCCTATGTTCCTCTGCTTCTCTGTCTTCCTAGCAAAAGGAACTTCTGATGGCTCCACAGAAATATTTTTTTTTTTATCTTCGCCAACCTCTCTGGTGTAGTCAGTAATAATGCTAGAATATCCCATGTGGGATAAAGTACTACAAGGTCAGCAGTTCAAACTCCAGCCACTCCTTAGAAATCCTATATAGGGTCGCTATGGATCGGAACCAATTCGACAGCACTTAGCAACAACAAATGAGGAAGGGTGTCTAGTAGTAACAAGAGCATGCATTTGGACAAGAGTTTTTGTTGGGTTTTTTTTTTTAACCAATAGAAGAATTCAGGATTTAAAGCATTATATAAGTCACCTACAAAAGTGACTGCTTAACTTCTTGTCATCAAAGGTAGAAGGATCCTTTAGAGATCACATAGTCCAATGGTATTTAACCATTTTGAATGAGTTAAAGGCACCTTTCAGAAGATTGTGAGATCTATGGTAAGGACAGGTCTACATTAAGTAGTCTATTTTCTGAACTCATAGGCTTAGGTCTAATTCATATATTCTCTTCTGATTTTGCATATCTTACATGACTGCATCTTATCCTTACAATAACTCTTGAAAAGAAGCAAACCAGCTCTTATTTTTATTTTTAGTTAAGAAAATTTCATCCCAGGTATTGAGAACTTTGCCCAAGATACACAACTGGTCAATTGCAGATGACTCTTAGAATACGATTCTTTAGCTTATTTCGGGGATTATCCACCACAATTTAAACGTATGAATTATATCTGTGTTGTATGACAGATTTCATATGCCATTTGTTTGATTTGGTTTTATTTAAATTAAAATCCTTTGCTCTCTCTAGTCTCCTTCACAGGGGACAGTGGAAGAAGATAAGTGGGTTTGGGGAGGTGGGTGAAGGTCCAGCAACTCTCAAAGTGACTGCCTTTCCAAGTGCCCCTTCCATGTCTGCTTTCTAAAGGACAAAAGAAACTGTTTCACAAGATCAGAGGGCCGATTGCGTGGTAAAGGTGTCTTAAGGAAGCATCTCTTTCAAGTAAGAGACATTCTTTTCTCTTTGATGTGCTGTTCTGACTATAGCCGATACATGTCTCTGATTGAGATGTTCTTTCCTTAACTTCCATATTGCCTGAATTGCCTGATACATTGGTCACGTATCATGCCAAATATCTGCTTCTTTCTGCTTCCCTAATGTAACTAAGAAAGTGAACTTGTGATAGTATTTATAGGAGATTTCTCTTTGTATCAGTAGCATTCAGCAGTGTCTTCCAGAAATTCATTGCCCCTTTAATGTTTTGTGGAATTAATGAAAAAAAAAAATCAATGATGATTCTATAATTCTAAGTCTTCTCCTGGTTCAAGTGCCCTATTGTATAATACATTAATGACTTATTTGTGAAGAATATTAGATTTTAAGAAAATGAACCCTATCACTTACAGTGCATTATAGCTTTTCCTGTCTCCTTCCCAGGTTGAAGACATAAAGGAAAGAGTACTGCCTAGAATAGTGTGGGAGGTGTCTTCCAGGGCAGAGGGTAAAGGGTAATACCTATAAATGAGACTACACACCCACCCACTGCCATTGAGTCGATTTCAACTCACAGCAACCTAATAAGGGTTTCTGAGACTATAAATCATTATGGGAGCAGATAGTTTCATCTTTTCCTGTAGAGCCACTGGTGGGTTTGAAGCACTGATGTTATGGTAAGCTGTCCAGTACTTATCCTACACCACTTCCAGTGCTCTTTAAATGGGATTATAAGAAGCCTAATGCACTGGATTGCAACGTTGCTTTGAATCACAAGGTCGGCGGTTCAAGCTCATCAGCTGCTCGGAGGAGGAGCAAGGTCACTGTGGGTTAGAACCAACTCAATGGCATTTAACAACAACACAAACATCTCCTATCCACTGAAACCCAAAGAAAACTTCTTGTAAGCACCATATTACCCAGTATCAGTAGTACAAGATGCCCACATATCAACGACAAAAGAGTATCTCTTGAATGGTTTGAGATGTTTTAAAGCTGATATATGTGGTAATATTTTCTTAAGCTAATTTCATGGTATTTTTCTGACAATTTTCCCATGTAAACTTTCAGAGAGCTTTGTCAATGGTTTGCTAACATTTTAAACAAGTGATCCCTTCTACCTACCTACACTCATATACTTTCCTAACAAACTAATGAATATAAATCAGAACAAGAATACGTAGTAACAGCTGGTCTTTAAGTCTCTCTAATGGAGATGTCTTAGAAATTAGCCATTAGCTGGAATTTCTGGATTAGCCATGAGAAAGACTATGTTTAAACACTGGTCTTGATGCTTCCTAGTTGTGTGGTACTTGATCAACCATTTAATTTTTGTGCAAATCTATACTGGGTAACCTATTGTTCAATATGCACTATTGCAAAGCTTAAGGGAAGTAACCCATATTAAGGACTAGAATATGATGAGGCAACTGGTCAACATACAGCAATATCATTGTAATGGAACTAAGATAGTTATAAATTAAAGTCGCTTTATTCATGTTTGGAGTCCTGATGTGGCCTTGTGGGCTAATGTGCTAGACTGCACAGTCAGTTTGAACTGCAAGGTTGGTGGTTCAAACTCAACAGTAGCTCCTTGGAAACCCTCTAGAGGGTTGCTATGGGTCAGAACCAACTCGACGGCACTTAACAACAACAATATTCATGTTTGGAGTCCTGCTGTGGTGCTGTGGGATACATCACTGGACTGCAAGGTTGCTTTGAACCACAAGGTTGGCAATTCAAACTCACCAGCTGCTCCTTGGAAATCCTGTGCAGAATAACTATGAGACAGAAGCGACTCAATGACAATTAACAACATTCATGTTTATGGTCTCCTGGTGTGACTCTGTAGGATCAGCACTGGACTGCGAACTACAAGGTTGGCAATTCAAGCCCACCAGCTGCTTCTAGGAAACCCTATAGAGGGTCCCTATGAGTCGGAACCAACTTCATAGCAATCAACAATTCATGTTTTAGAGTCACTTCATTCTATACTGATAACATTTAGATGGTTCCTGCTCTACTTACGATATATGGTTTGTACCCTAATAGGTCAAAAGCTATTTGCAGACCAAACATTGAGTTTGGTGTTATCTACTTCTCAGATAACAGTGTAACTGAGAAGAAATATTAGTATCATTTGTGCTATTATTCCTTCTACAGAGTCCGTGATGTTTATTATTAGTCAAGCATAACACGCATGTTACAAGTCTAGATGTAACCTAATAATTCTAAACCCGGCAATTTTGTCAGCTATTACTAAATTATTTTAGTAGACTCAAAAATACAAATTACACAAACAAAATTGGGACATTAAGTTAACATTATATGGGTAAATATTTTGTTTCTAAAGAGTACTAAATAGATGTGACTAACACAAATAAAATTAACAAACCTTTAGGCAATGTCTGGAAGGTCCTTTCAAAGACCTTCCATATCTTCATAACAATGATAAAGGAGTACTGCTAGTGTTGTTGTTGTTAGGTGCCATCGAGTAGGTATGGACTCATAGAGACCCTATGCACAACAGAATGAAACACTGCCTGGTCCTGGGCCAACCTCACAATTGTTGTCACACTGAGCCCATTAATGCTACCACTGTGCCAATCCATCTCACTGGGGGTCTTCCTCTTTTTCTCTGACCCTCCACCTTACTAAATATAATATCCTTCTCTGTCGACTGGTCCCTCCTGACAATATGTTGCTACATTAATATAGTAAAAAGAGTCAACAAACAGAAAAGCAAAAGCATTCTCAATTGGAGCAATGTTGTGTTTAAGAAAAAGTCCTATTGATAGCATTTGAAAACAATATTCAGTAACTGCAATAATATGTTCATTGTGTCTTAAAACAGTAAAGCAGACCAAAAAAAAAAAAAAAAGCTATTTTCTATTTCAAGAACTTTTGAGTCATCAAAGTATAATGTTTTAAAAGTTTGCCATCCGAAAGCTTCTTTCTTTGATGCGGTCCTTTAGATAGAATGCACTGAGCTCACTCTCCTTGTGTATGCTTTGGTAGGTCGACTGTGGTGAGTTCCAGGATCCGAAAGTCTACTGCACACGGGAATCTAACCCCCACTGTGGCTCTGATGGGCAGACATATGGCAACAAATGTTCCTTCTGTAAGGCAGTGGTGTAAGTATCGTACTCCCAAACCTTTATTTTACAATCTCAAACTCCCAGCATAAGGTGAAGATGCATTTCTTGAGGTAGTCTACAAAGTTCTATGTATATCCCACCCATACAGGCTGAAGTAATTAGCTTTAGACAAATGAGTTGATAACAAATGAGTCTAAACTGAAAGAAGTTTAATTAAGACATTTGAAAGCATAATCTCTATTACTTTTTTTATTGTTAATTTTTATTCATTTTAGGTCAATTTTTGATATCTACTTATAAAGATATGTGAATATGTTGTTGTTGTTAAGTGCTGTTGAGTCGGTTCCAACTCATAATGACAGTTTTTGGGTTTCCAAGGAGCAGCTGGTGAGTTTGAATTGCCAACCTTGTGGTTCAAACCAAACTTGCAGTCCAGTGCTTTATCCCACAGCATATATGTTTACAACATTACTATGAGTCGCAACCAACTCAGAGACACTCAACAACAGCAACATATATATATATATATATGCCAACTTTGTGATCCAGTGCATTAACCCACAGCACTCTGCTCTCTGTCTCTCTCTCTTTGTATATATATATATACACACACACACACATACATATGGTGTCCTGGCATGGTGCTGTGGGTTAATGCACTGGACTGCAAAGTCCGTTTGAACTGCAAGATAGATGGTTCAAGATCCCCAGCTGCTCCTCAGAAACCCTATACAGGGGTGCTATGGGTCGGAACCAACTTGACAGCACTTAATAACACCAACTCTTCATTAGTCAGAGTAGTCAAACTTCACAGTTAGTATACTAACAATTTTCTATCAAGGATCAATATTCATTCAATTCCTTATTTAAAAGAAATAGAGAAGATCCTAATAGTATATGGTCTATACCCACTGGTATCAAGCTGATTCAGACTCAAAGTGACCCTGTATAGGTTTCCCCAGGTTGTAAATTTTTCAAGTGAGCAGAAAGCCTCACGGATCCCCTGCAGAGTAACTAGTAAGTTTGAAATGCTGACCTTGTGGTTAGCAGTCTTGTTTAATCAGTCAAATAATCCAAAAGCAATCAAGATGTAATCCTTGATTAAATAAGATAAACATTTCTTCACTTCCTCAACTGTCAATATTTTTCCTTTTATTGGAGTATCTTCTATAAACGTATTCATTTCCCTCAACTTTGATGCAAAAGCAGAGATTACATGGCTGTCCAGTAACAATCACAGGATCCAACATAAACAATGTAATTAATATTTAATGACTCAATACATAACAAATGCATGCCTACATGTATATAGATTGTATCTATATACTTTACATATGCAGGGCATTAGTGCAAATGAGATTTGAATTGATATAGACTGACAGGGACTGAATGCATGGTCAGCTATAAAATATCAAATGAGTGAATATTGGTTCAGTTTTTTACATCATTCCGGATAGAACTAGGTCACTATATTGTGTCTTTCTCATGATTTATCCAGTCCCTACTTCTTTTTTCCCTTATATGTAAATTTATACTTGGATAATGAGCAACTAGAAGTAAAAATCTCAGGCTTATCAAAATTTAGAGATTTGTTCAAGATTTATATTTTCATTAATCTGACCAGATGCCAAGTTTGAATGTATTTAATTGCCCTCCAAAGTGTAGAAATGGATCTCTGTAGAAACAAAAAATTGATGGAACAAGCCATCATTACTTCTGTTTTCAACCTCTGTGGTGTTAATTTAAGGTTTTTCATTGAATGTGTGCTTTTGTCTTTTTCTTCCATAGGAAAAGCAGTGGGAAGATTAACCTAAAGCACCATGGAAAATGCTGAAACTATGGCCAGTGTGTTGTGCTGGCTTTTCAGTTCTCCCATCTTTTTCTCACTGCTGCCTTTACCTTTCTCAGTGGATCCATTAAATTTAGAAACACAAATCTCTGCCTGGGATCTGGGATGTTTGATGTAATGCTATTTCTCTTGATTTGCTTACCAATAAATTCTTCAGAAGCATTGGTTGTGTGTTTACATTGGTTATCAAGAACGATATAGATACAATTCAAAATTATTTTTCTGGTTTAAAACTCGGATTAAGAGACCTGCTTTCTTTATGTAACTCAACCATCCGGTCACTGTGGATCTTGGGGAAAATCCTCTCTCCCTCATGTTCTTGAAATCCCTATCTAGAAAGTATAGACAGGAATTTTGCAAA